TGACGAGTATGTTTATCTGGGACAAATAGTCCGACTAGATAAGTCCAAGTTCGACCGAAAGGTCAATCGACGGATTCAAATCGGCTGGGCTGTGTTCCGGAAATTACGGCACATCTTCTCGTCAGGTATACCTCAAAACTTGAAAACGAGACTGTATAATCAATGCGTGTTGCCAGTTTTTTTTAATGGAATTAGGGTCACAAACGAGCACACAGTCCACCTGATGGTAAGTGGTTGCTTAAATATTTTAAAACTATTAATGTTAAGAAAACGGCAGACTTATGGGGGATTTCCGTTAAAGTTATTTCATCTATAATAGATATAATAGCACCTTTTCTAGCCACTATATTTAATACAAGCGTCGAATCTGGTGTGTTTTCTGATTTAATGAAACATAGTAAAGTCATACCTTTATTTAAATCTGATAGTACATTAGACACCGCCAATTTTAGACCAATTTCTGTACAACCAACATTTAGTCATATTTTTTGTGCATGGGAGAATTCAGAGGATGCTTTAGGTATATTTTGTGACCTTTCCAAGGCCTTCATCATTAATCAGGAAGCTACAGTACTATGGTGTCAAAAACACAACGCTTAAACTTATTATTTCATATTTAAGTAATAGAATGCAGAAAGTTATTATCAATGGTAAAAGTTCTTCCGGGTCAATTGTACTAATGGGTGTCCCACAGGACTCCATTCTCGGCCCATTCCTATTTCTAGTGTATATTAATGACTAGACTCTTTTGTTAAGTTGATACTGTATAAAAAGGGTTATTATAGTATAAATGAATACATGGTTGATAATAACCCCTGGGAATGAGGTGATCGCTTCCAAGCTGTTTCTAAAATACATTTTGTACATACCATTAATGTAAAATATGCTTTAAAAAAGTCCCGCTGGGTTTCTTGCTGGTTCTTCCCAAGACAGAGGTTTTTTTTCGAACAAGTGGTAAAGTAAAAAATGACTTCCAATAAAAATTACACATGTGATCTATATTGAATAAAAACAGTAATGTCGACCAAAAATATCCTTGACTGTGCCCGGTCCATCAGCAAAATATCAGGCTCATTCGCAAGAATAGTCCTGTCTGTGATGATGGCCCGGTCCCAGTAGAGCCTGGCGCGGTCATTTTCGAGCACGGCTTCCGGCAAGTACTTATAATACGGCAGTTTCCGATCCACGAGACCGTATTTCAGAGCGAGCTCCTGGTGTAGAATCCTGGCTACTAAGTTGTGCCTGTGCAAATACTCAGAGTTAGAAAGCGCCGAACAACCGGAGATGACATGCCTAAGTGACTCACAGGGATGGCGACAAGCTCGACAGACGTCAACGGTGCCATCCTTTAGGATGTATCTCCGATAATTGTTGGTCTTAATAACCTGATCCTGTATCGCACAGACAAAACCCTCGGTTTCCCCAAAGAGGTCACTGAAACGTAGCCAGTTGAGGGAGACGACTGTGTCTACGAAAGTCTCATGTAAAGCCTTGTAGAACCTTCCGTGGAGCTCCTTCTACTTCCATACGGTCTTCCGGTCGAAAATGCTCTGTACTGCCGGATCTTGCCATTGCTCGTTGGCTAAGGATAGAGGGGTAAGTCCTTTATCACAAGAAATAACGTCCCTATAGTATGGATCATCCGCTCTCGTCAGAAAGTAATTACGGAGGCTGCACACTTCGCGATTATGCATGGTAAGCGCGCTTAAAAAGCCGCGCCCACCATGCTTCCGTGGCAAGTACAGCCTCATTATTGACGATCTCGGATGATGCATCCTGTGGGACGTCATTATAGTGCGGACTTTTCTGTCCAGAGCGTTCAGTTCGGTCTGAGTCCACCTGAGCATGGCAAAGGTATACATGAGAACAGGCATGATCCAACCGTTATATGCGTGCGTCTTATTCACACCGGACAAAAGGCTGTTAACTATTATTATTATTAATAGCATGGTTATTTTCAAACGGGACAATTTTTTTATTCTTTGATGAAATGTAATGGCGGCTGTACACGCTCGTCGAGACACCACGATACAGGCCGAGTACGAGTGTGTACATGGTGCTCTCGTCGCGTCGCGTCGCGTCTCGCGGTCCTCATTCGCTCTCGGAAGCGTGTCGGTTTTTAGCGCTCGAGTCAAAGGATCTCGTGAGTCTCGCGATGAAAACGAGAGCGCGCCTGTACACACTCGTTCGTTTTCAGTTAATTATAAAAATTATCAAAAAAAATGGTTCAATATTGTCAAATACAATATAGGAACTTACATGGTTCTATTACAGTGAATAGAAACCATTCACCATGGCTTATTAATTTTCTTTTTATTGGAAATATGTAAAAAATTATAATAAAAAATAGCAAAGGAAAAACACAGCAACAGTTTCTTCTACGTTTATCGCAGTGGGCATCCGGAGTTCAAGTGATACAACGAGTGTGTACATGGTGTGCTCTCGTGTCGAACCTCTACGCGACGAGAGGAACGCGAGGCGACGAGACGAGCGTGTACAGCCGCCATAAGTAAAAAAAGTTCTATGACTTTTTACTAAAAGTAATACTTTCGGAATTATCAATTTTGAAAGATTTGATTGGACTGATATTGGGGACGTCTTTGTTTGTCTGAGATTTCCATACAATTTTAGTCAATGGCGATATGAAAACGTTATTGTTAAATACATGTGATAAAGGTAGTGCACTTGTAATTCAAGTAATCAACTTCCTTTTCTATCATCTATTTTATGTACTATCTGTTAATGTCATTAACTTGACAATGGCCAACAATTACAATGACATTAACACATAGTGCGCAGGAACAGGGAACAGGAGTTGTTATCATACGCACGTAGACAGAGAAATATGGACTCTGTCTACCTACGGCCTACGGTCTACGCATACTAGTTTATTCTCTCTCTACGACGCATACGCACCCATACGCTTTATCATTTATCCACATTTATCACACTCTACTCTACAGACTATATAACAAGATACTCGCTAAACGTCATTCACTCGTTCATTATCAGGCTCCTTTCCAGGGTTCCCAACTAAAGAGATTTTCCCCTAAATTTAGGGGGTAAATAAGAGAGATGGGATTTTTTAGGGATTATATATTTTCCAATTTAGCAGATTTTGTTTAAAAATTTACAATTATTGCGGCACAGCTGGCTGTAAACCTTTTGAATATGTCTCGAAATTCAGATTATATGTTTTGCATTAATTATCACGGTTGCAATTTCTTGTTATCTATTGAAATGCTACTAAGTGTGTTAATGATCTGATTCACACTTCAACGACGTAGCGCTTCATTTATAATATTCAATCCATTAACTAAAATGTATATTTATTTAATATCTAAATGTATTTTATTTAGCGGTGGGTAGTAGCGGCTTTTTTGAGTAACGAAACGAAACTATCTATCGAATATTAATAGCGGCTTTTGAAACACTCTATTTTAATAGAGGGTTTTGAAACACTCTATTTTAATAGAGGGTTTTGAAACACTCTATTTTAATAGCTGCTTCAATAGTGTTTCACGACGTGCTTTAAAAACGTGGCGAATTAAACTATGACCATTTCGCGAGAAAGTTTGATTAGTTTGTTTGGTGTTCCTCTTTTATTAAGAATACTGTTATCGAGATTTTAGTGTTAAGAAGATTTATATTGCAATGAAATCTCCGTCGTGCTTTATCCAGGCTCAGGACTGGCTGGTGACGAGTGAATTAAGTAACAATGAATACTTAAGTTAGATTCTAATACAATAACATTACATATATGCAAATGTATTCTCTTCTTATCTTACTACAAATATTATTATTGTTGCACAAAACAAAACCTACATATATATTAGCAATAAAAAACAAACCGCATCATCAAACACGAAACGAATTCGGACTGGGTCAAGAGTCCACGCAAATTCAAGCGATACGAAAATATTTTTTATATAAAAATAACATGCACACTTACTTTCTCATTTCTAATATCACATTTATCCGAAGATAGGTTAAATGCACAAGCCATGTAGGTGTGTGCGAAAGAGATAAAACTTATCACCCGCGTTCACTCGACATTCGATGGCTGGTGGTACTTGAACTGCCGAAGTTGGCCGAAGCCGTTGCCGATGCGTCGCGAAAATAGCCGAATAAACGATTTGTTATCTTTCGTTCTGATCGCTCGTTCGTGAAACGTGAATCATGTTACTGAGTAAAACATCTACTGTAATAGATAGTTTTGTTGGACTGCAATAACCCGCTACCCGCTGTTGTATGAATAGATAGTTCCAATAACTGGTTACGTTCTGTAACGATCACTCCTAATTTTAATTTTTTTTATAGGATAAGGGTGACAAACGAGCACACAGTCCACCTGATGGTGAGTGGTTGCTGCGGCCCATAGACATTTACATCTATCCTCTGTTACAAATCAAAATGTAGATGCGTTGTCACCCGTGAGGACTAAGATGGAATGCCTCATTTCCAGTAAAAAGGGCCTCCGGCCACCTGCACTCACCAAGCGAAACGCAGAGGTAAACCTCTACTTCACGCTGGTTTTCTGTGAGGTCGTGGTACTACCCCGGTTCGAGCCGGCCCATCCGTGCGACAGCAAAAGCTGCCGCGTGGCCCTACCACTGTTAAAAAACTGCCGCGTGGCTCTACCACTGTTAATATCTAATGATTTTCGGAACTATCAGAAGCAAACGATATAATATTAGAAATATTAAATAATTTATATATAAAGAACATTACAAAGCATTGTACTTATTTTTAGGGTATTTCTAAGTAAATAAGGTAATTTTATAGGTTTTTGACTTAACATTTAGGGGTAAATATTTTTTGGAGTTGGGAAGTGGTAGTGGTAACACTGCTCATTTCGTTCTATTTTTTAATTTTTTTCATTCGGTTCTGCGCTAGAGTGTTGTGATGTTGTGTGATTGTGTTATTTTGTCACTTAAAAAAAGATCTATCGAACTCGTAAAATATTAAAGTTCAGTGCGTTTATTTTCACATTTAACAGTATGAATATATTATTAGCATTTTTTCTTTCGTTAAGCTTAAGGTTTACAGTATCGACGTCGATTGCGCGGGGAGAATATGGTGAAATTAAATTATTCCAATCACCGGCGACGTACAGCGTGGAAAGTATGGTCCTGTTGAACGATGCGGGCAGGAAGGACAAGGAGGTCGGGTATAAAGTCAACGCCAACCTAGACGTGCAAGCTGTATGGGGCATTGACTCAGAGTTCCTTTTAAAATTTGATGTATGTACATTTTACCGGCTTTTGTTTCATCAGTATCTTTGTGATGATTTATTATTTATTTCAGTTATTTGATACCTACCGCTCAACTGTACAAACCTATCAACGATTTGAAAGTCCAAACTTACATCATGGCCTATGTTTAACGTTATTTGTTACATGATAACATTGAATATTCAAAAATGGCTGTAAATTGTTGTAGCTGTAGCTGATGGCTAAAATATTTTATATTTTTGTAGTTGAACTTCATCATTTGTAATGATTATGAACCCTTAACAAGTACAATAGGTACTGTACATAAGCCTCCTCAAGGACTGCCACAAAACATTGTCCCGAGTCACCTGCATCCATCTTGCATGTATTATCTGGTTGTCACTACATATTGTTTTGTTTAGTACTTAGCTAAAATCATTTTCTTTAAAATGATTGCTCCTTCATAAGGGTAGTTGCCTTTTTCTCCCTGCACCCTTCTTTTTCTAACCCTAATATAAATAGTTACTGAACATGATATTAATTTTCATCAAAATTTTTTTTTTCAAGTTGAAGATGTATTTCAGAATCCTTCTTGGTTCCACCTGGTAAGTAACCCTCCCGAGCTTACATGTCACCCTTCCTTCCTCATCATTAAATAGATTGCAGTTTTTGTACACCCTTAGCATATCTTTCCACACATTACACCTATGGGACTAGAAAGAGTAGTGGATATTTTTACACCGCGTCTATATTGTTATCATATAAGAGTTGGAAAAAATTATTTCACATTCAGTATTCATGCTTCATTTTTTTTATCATACACATGTTTGAAATATCACCCAAGTACAATAAATTAAATACGTGCAAAATAATATAATACAATAATATATTAGAATAATGAAAAATAGAAATAGTTATTGATGCTTTATAATGTGTGTATTTACAAAAGGACAATTAAATACTCTTAAAATTGTGTTCTTAATTAATTTCAAAAAATATTTCCAGCTACGTTACCCAAAACTTCTTGGAAAAGGAAAATCAGTTACTGCTGATTACCTTCCAATTAAGTCCTTTTGGGATTCATATCCCAACACTGAATTCTTTGCATACTGGAAACATGGACTTATTGCAGAGGCATATTTGGACCCTGAAGAATTACCAGATGTATTGAATTACAAAAAATCCTTGATTAGCTTGTTCCAGGTAAATTTTAATTGATTTTATTGATCTTCGGTAAAAAACCTGTTGTTTAATGTGATTTGATTCAATTGAAAGTACCACCATCACTACTGTTTGCTTGCATATAAGTCTTCAGAAAAACACTAAGCTTTATAAAGTTTTTAAAATGAAAACAATATCTTAATTTAATATTTTTTTTAGAAGAGAATAATTTTTATTCAATAATCATAACATTAAAATATACAATATTTGTTACGATAATGAAACAACTGAAAACTTAAATTATCATAGATACAGTCCTACACATTGCAGTATGGTACCAAGAACGCTGGCTGCATTTCATCACTGAATGGTAAAACAATATAAAATAAAGTTCATTTAGGAGCTTCACTGAATTCATATGTTGAATAAAAAATATTCTATTCTATGCTCGTTCTTGAAGTGCACATGTAGATTTAGTTACTTTGAGTCTGTGTTATATGAAGACATATATTGTACTACTAATTTATTTTTCAGCTTCAAATAATAGATGGAGAACATAATGAAACTGACATATCGGGCATATGTGATGTTGTCTATGATTCTATCTCAATGCAAGTTATCAGGAAGACTAAGGTAGGCACCAGCTGTCACTGTTACTATAATGAAAAAGAGTAAAATGGCTAAATACAGTTTGCCTTATATAGAGACAGTGTCGAGCTGTTGGGGCAGTTGACGGGAATACAGAAGACGAAGTGGTTACATCTCGGCGTCTGACGCGCTACACGCTGAGCGAGAAGCTGGACGGGCTGGAGGAAGTGCATGCGGAGGAGGTGCACACAGCAGGCTTCCAGAACATGGAGGCGCTGGTGAAGGCTCGCGCCTGGCTGCGCCTGCGTCGCTCCGGCGCGCCCGCGCCCGCCTCCTTCCCCTCTCTCCCCTCCCTCGCCGCCGCACTTGCCGAGTTGCCAGCTAAACTCAAACCGTTGCCGCTACCTATGGTTATCGCTGATGAACCTCTAGACGAAGAAGAGGTAAGCACAATTTATTTTATTGAAGTGAAAACTTCTTTAGAATTGTTGTGATTTGATACACAAAACGAAAAAGTGCCACCAACAAGAGACAAACATCTACATCTATAGGATTGAAAGAATGGGATAGAATACAGTATACAGTGTTTATTATAAATATTATTTATATTTTAATTACGTAAACCTTACATTTATCCTACTCCTGGTACTGTGCATTTGTCTCATTCTCTCGAAGTTTGGTTTTCTGAAGGTTTCACATCTACTGCATGTGAATAGCACGCATGGTTTATTTTATATTATTCAGAACACCAACAGCATTGATATAGGTCATTTACTACAAAATCTAAAATCAATATAGCTATTAAAAGATATTTGTATATGAAAATTAAAATGTATATAGAGGATAGACCACACAAGCTTTACCTCTAAACAAAATCGATCAATTAAAATACAAAATGGGGGGAGTGGGGGGGAAGATCCTAATAGATTATATATTACATAGATTGGGTGCCAAAAAACTGAGGCAAACAGTTTGTTGATATTTGAAGGTTTAGTCCAAAATAATGTCAATTTGCTGTTACCTAGTGTGAGATTGTTGAAAAAGTTACTTGCATGAATAAAAAAAAAGGTGCAACAATATTTAGTGTTAGCTCTGGGTATTGCTAGAGTTTGTGTACATTGCACATTTAAGATTTTCAATTATTCTCTAGTGTAAGCCTCATACTGGCAAACTGTTAAAAACACCCTCCCACTAGATAGCGTGACAGGATGCAGGTGGCCACTGTACCAAACTTTTTGCAACATATGCAGTAGACCTGTGTTCAATAGTGGACTTGTGATTGGCTTTAATAATGATGACATTATTACTCAAGCTTGCTTGATGCGTTCAACTATGACATTACAACATTACAATATATTTGTGATATGATGTAGGCGGCTCATGACCAGGACAGTGTTTTGTGGCATTTATTGGGGGAGGCCTATGTTCAGCTGTAGACTTGTTAATAGCTCTAATGATAATGATAATGGTTGCATTTGTTTACTAATTAGATATTAGCTTTTTAAATCATCTCCCATTACTGGTCTTGGGATGAACATAGAATTCTCAGATTACCATAGTATGAGACTACTCAAAAACCTTTGTCTTCCATCATTTGTTAGTTCTTTAAGCTATATGATCAGCCCATTGTCCTGTGGATTATGTTGGTTACACTAGTTATACTGCAGATTCTACATTACGGTTTCATTTTTGCAGAAAAATTTAAAATCGCACTTCTTTCTATAGCTTTCTAGCTATTCTACGTGGTAGAGCCATGCTGCAACTATATTATGGTTGTAGCACGAATGGGTCGGCTCGATCGGGGAAGGACCACGCTCTCACAGAAACACAACAGTGTAAAATAGCAGCTTAACGCTGCTGTGTTTCGTATGGTGGTGAGTTTAGAGAACCGGAGACCCTTTTTACTGGCAAAGAGGCATTCCATCTTAGTCCTCACGGGTGACAACGCATCTGCATCTTGAGTCTTTATTGAGGATAGATGTAGATGTCTATGGGCCACAGCAACCACTTACCATCAGGTGGACTGTGTGCTCGTTTGTCACCCGATCCTATAAAAAAAAGCTAGCTGAGTCAGTTTTAGCTTTCAGATATAGCTAAGCAGTGAAGCAGCGCATCTTGTCTCCATAAGTCATAATTTATAGCAACACATTATGACTTATACACTTTTGTTTTGAGGTTTGGGAAATATTGGATGTGAAGATTTTTATTGTTTATGAATGAAATGATTTGGTGAATATAGAATGACTTAAAGTCTGAAGCATTTTCTACCAGTGTCAACTAACATTTTGTATTTTTTTTCACTTATTTATAAGGCAGTTCTTAACCACAATCCCACCAGGTAAGTGGTAAATCGCGCTGTCTTCAATTTCCTGGAAATTATTCTGACGATCACGTTGCACCATGTTCATCATCATCATCATTACAGCCCTTCACAAGTCCACTGCTGAACATAGGCCTCCCCCAAGGAATGCCCCAAAGCACGGTCTTGAGTCACCAGCATCCATTGACTTCCTACGTGTCTTACCAGGTCGTCACTCCGTCTAATGGGGGGACGCCCTACACTTCGCCTGCCGGTATGAGGCCGCCACTCGAGAACCTTTCTTCCCCATCGGTTGTCGACACTTCAGCTTACTAATCCGTTGGGCTATGTCGGTTACTCTGGTTCTACTGCGGATATCCTAGTTTTCAAGTCTATCACGTAGAAAAACCCCGAACATAGCCCTCTCCATAGATCGCTGAGCGACCTTGTGCTTCCTCATACGGCCAGCAGTGAAGAACCACGTCTGAGATCCATAGGTCATAACTGACATATTCGTCAACAGCTTCGAGGTTAGTGCTCCCAACAAACTACTGGCATAGGTGTGACATGGACGTTATTCATGACTTTTCTACCGACTTCAAAAAGGAGGAGGTACTCAATTCGACTGTATGTTTTTTTATGTGTGTTACCTCGTAACTTTTTTCTGGGTGAACCGATTTCGTGATTATTATTTTTATTTAAAAGCTGGTGCTTCTCATCATCATCATCATTACAGCCCTTCACAAGTCCACTGCTGAACATAGGCCTCCCCCAAAGAATGCCACAAAGCACGGTCCTGAGCCACCTGCATCCATCGACTTCCTGCATATCTTACCAGGTCGTCACTCCATCTAGTGGGGGGACGCCCTACACTTCGCCTGCCGGTACGAGGCTGCCACTCGAGAACCTTTCTTCCCCATCGGTTGTCGGTTCTTCGAGCTATATGGCCGGCCCATTGCCACTTCAGCTTACTAATCCGTTGGGCTATGTCGGTCACTCTAGTTCTACTGCGGATATCCTCATTTCTGAGTTTATCACGCAGAGAAACTCCGAGCATAGCCCTCTCCATAGCTCGCTGAGCGACCTTGAGCTTCCTCATCCGGCCAGCAGTGAAGGACCACGTCTCAGTTCCGTATGTCATCACTGGCAACACGCACTGGGTGTACAGTCTCGTTTTCAAGTTTTGAGGTATACCTGACGAGAAGATGTGCCGTAATTTCCCGAACGCTGCCCAACCGAGTTGAATCCGTCGATTGACCTCTCGGTCGAAGTTGGACTTACCTAGTCGGACTATTTGTCCCAGGTAAACATACTCGTCAACAACTTCGAGCTTAGTGTTCCCAACAACCACCGGCATAGGTGTGACATGGACATTAAACATGATGGTGCTTCTCATGTGATCCCATATTTGATCAAGGTCTGACCTATTAGTTTTTGAGTTATTCTTAATAATTTATATTGAAGTCTTTCATTGCAAATTATGTTTTATCCATGTTAATTTTAAGACCTATCCGTTGGGAAACACTATTGAGGTCATTGAACATAGTGCTTAGGTCGGATAGGGTCGGGTTAGGTTCGGGACGGATCGTTAACTTGATCAGACGTGACCTCTGCAACTTAACGTTTAGGTTCAGTGTGCCTCTCACCAATCGGTGATCGCTGCCGGTTTTCACCCTCGCGATCACTGCGACATCACTGAACAGTTGTCGTCTGGTCGTCATAATGAAATCAATCTCATTTTTTGTCGAACCGTTGGAGCTCGACCAGGTCCACTTTCTGTGGGGCCGCTTCTGGAAGAAAGAGTTCATCATAAAGAGTCCCTCTTTCTCCATAAAGTCTGCCAGCTGCTGGTCCCTTGTGTTCCATTGCCCTACCTTGAATTTCGCTAGTTTCAGCTCCCCGTTCTCTCTAGTGCCTAGTTTTGCGTTGAAGTCTCTCGGGTTTTGGAAGAATGCATGGCTCTAGAGATATCCTCATATATTTTCTCCACCTCCTCATCGGGGTGTGCCGAAGTTGGTGCGTAATCTTGTATGACCTTTAGCGAATACCGTTTGGTGATTCTGAGTATAAGGTATGCAACTCTCGTCGACACACACAATCTTTACAACGTTGTTAACGAGAGACTTGTGGACGATAAATCCGACACCTCCTTGGAACAGATGGTCGTCCTCCCGGTGATAGAACAAGTTGCCGGATTAGAGGATTACCGTGTCCTCCCCCTCTCTTCGGACCTCAGATAATCCTATAATATCTCAGCGCAACTTGTCTATCTCTTCCAGCTCCAGGATCTTCTCGTCAGTCCTCAGAGTGCGTGCGTTATATGTTGCCAGGTTGAGTCGTCTTCATTGGCAACCGTACCTCCATCGGACATTCTTTGCACCCCCTGCCCCGCCGTTACCATGTTCGCCACCGTTGCCAGGAATACCGGGGCTGCAGGGTCTGGAGGGTATATTGCCATAGTTGCCACGCTTGGCGAACGGGTTGAAACCGCAGTTTTTATATTGTAATTTGCTGTTATCAGAAAGATGCTGCTGTCCATCTTCTGCCTCAGTTTCCCTCTGTCGCCTCTTACGACACCCACGGGAAGACATGAGCTAGTGGGTATTTTTACCCGCCACTACACGCACCATGTTGTCGCCCGTAAAATATTACATTTTGGATACTTTTGTTTTACATCGACCAGGAAAAGTCCATTGCGTGACATGTGCCTGGCATGCAGATGGATTGGCTGCTATACCCGAAGTCTCATACCTATGACGCTGGTGCGATTTTACGTCTGACAAAAACGAAATGGTTATAGAATCTATCGGAAGCAATAAAATCTTGCCGACATTTTCCTCATACTTGTCTCACACCGACACCCGTGAGGAGGAATGGGTTTCACACGATATTTTTTATACATTAAATAAATAATACGTAAAACCTATTTGACGGCTCCGTGGCCCATTGGCTTAGCAAATAGTTGCAGCGCTGAGGGCCGCAGGTTCGAATCCCGCATGGAACGAGTATTGTTTGTATGGCCTACAAATAATTGTTACGTGTCTGGACGATTGTCCTTGTGCAATTTATACTACCGCCATGATACAGGAAGAAATCCTACAGTGCTTTAATTTAAAAAAGAAGTGTAAATATTATTTATGGAATATAATGTAAAGATAGTGACATTAATTAATATAAGAATTCATGGTTTTAAATACCTAAACATTTCTAACGGTTATTACATTTATAAAATATTTTACTTTATAATGTAGTGTGACAGTGTGTACATTTGATTTCTTAATGCGCTTACTTATAATTGATTATGTTAAATGTTTTGGAAACTAAGTATTAGCAAGTGAGATAAGCGATGGTAAGCCACGTGGAGTGTAGTGACGGGGCGGGAGATAGCGCGCGGTGGTCGTTATCGCGAGCCCCCAGATAGCCTTTGTTTCAAATTGACTACTGTAAATATTCAACATATTAGTTGCTGCTACTTAACCATTTCATTAGTCATATTTATTTATTATGTCAAATGTTTTAAACAGAATGTCCATTTATGTTTATCCATGGTTTTAATTTGTATAGTCGTCTCATATGAATAAGTTCTAAGAAAAGATTATTTTTGCAAGGAAGTATGTCTGCAATGTAAAATTTATTTTAAAATGGTTGGGAAATTGTTAATTGGGTTCTATAATCCCGACTGTACCAATAAATGTCGTTTTGCTACACGTTACCCTGAATAATGCTAGAAGTGGTATTACTAGTTGCGGTAGGATCCGTACACGGTTATTTACCATCCTTTACAGTAGTAGTAGAACAGTACTAAGACATATTAAAAAAAACAAGCAATAGTAATAGTAGTAGTAAAATCAGCGTAAAATAGCAGCTTAACGCTGCTGTGTTTCGTATGGTGAGTGTAGAGAACCGGAGACCCTTTTTACAGGCAAAGAGGCATTCCATCTTAGTCCTCAGGGGTGACAACGCATCTGCATCTTGAGTCTTTATTGAGGATAGATGTAGATGTCTATGGGTCACAGTAACCACTTACCATCAGGTGGACTGTGCTCGTTTGTCAGCCGATCCTATAAAAAAAAAGTAATCAGAATTGTTTGGTGTTGCTGTCCCGGGAGAATATGTATGCCATCAAAAACATAACTTGTAAAAAAGAACCAAGTCTCGCAACTCAGTTCTTCTACCGTAAAAAGTTGTGAGATCCATGTAATACCAAGTCGATTAATTTACTCAGTCTCTACTCAAGGGTCCTTCTGTCTCAAGCTATTACGTAATTTGCTAACCTAACAACATCTTATAGTGACATATCAATATTAAAAATCTTATGTTTTTAAATAAATAGATTGACTTGGCCATCGCATGAAAACACAGTGTATCTCACAAGTATACCTACTAATATAATACTAATAATATTTTTATAAATAGTCCTGCTTTTTTTCCTTTCCGGTACCATCTACTTCTTGAATACCAACTACGGATTTTCGGGCAATTTAGTCTACTTAATACTTTGCGGGGTTTTGGTACAACTTCATAAGACATGTCCCATTCTTGCTTTTTATTCCATTGACCATTTTACTAGTTACCTTTGAACATAAATTTTATCTAGGTACCTATCCTGCTGTCTACATCTATTATTCCATCATACATACAGGTACACTGATTCATTCACTGCAAATGTAACTGTTATTTATGCAGTTGGTGTATCTAGAAAACTGGAACGAAATTACAAAATATTTTAATTTTTCCTTGATTTATACTAGTGATGCAACGAATACGAATACGAATATTCGTATTCGCCGAATAGTAGACATTTACTGAATGTTCGTATTCGGCTAATACTGATTACGAATATTTAAAAACTAATGTTTTTGTACGCAACTCTAATTACTGGCGGACTCGGATAACGCACGTCGTCGGCGCGTAAAAAATACGACGTGTGTTTTGGCCCTTAGTCTCAACGACGGGGGTCTCCCAAAAATATTTTTCACTGAAGCTATGTACAGTCGCCTCGGAAAGACTTTTTTCAACGGCTGGGAACATCTAGACTGAAAGAAGAAGTCGCTTAAAACCAGAAAATCTACGAATTTTATGTTTTTTAAATAAAAATTTGCCTATTGTACATTTTAATTATTAGAACAATAGGAAATCATCAAATAAATTAGTTTTTTTTTACCATGGCGAGATATTCGTATTCACCGAATAGTGGGTTTGATATTAGTATTCGTAAAAGTAGTATTCGTTGCATCACTAATTTATACACAACACTAATTGTATTCTAAATTTGAAGCTTCTATGTCTGCTAGAAGTGTCTTAGAGTTTTGATGATCCGTCAGTCAGTGAGTGACAAAATTAAGAAACTTTTACTAGTTATAATTCTTAAACTACTAGTTCAAATTGATTGAATCAAATTGAATGAAATAAAATTTGAAATATACCATGTTTATACAATGCATGCTTGGTTGCTGAAAATTCAGGCGTCTAGTTTTATCCACAACGAAGTTATAGAGGGTCGAAAATGGCTTGAACTGCTTCGAGAAAAGGCTGGTACGACCGTGCCGCTTTTTTGATCGACTTGGCGGGGACACTGTCGTGCCAAATTAACGTATAACGCTTTCACACAAATCCGCGGCACTCCTCCCCCCTATTTCTTCTTAGGTATAGTGCGTCGAAACATTAGGTGCGTTTTTCTCCATGGTCTTCATTTTCATCTGCGCAACAGTCCTCCTCCCCCCTACTCTGTTACATGGAGGTCATGACGCCAGAAAAAATTAGACTCATTCTCTCCGATTCTACTTCGGGTGCGGCTGATATGGGGAGAGGACACTTTTCGTCATAGTCCACCAATGCGCATCCGAAGTGAGCAAGACCGCACTAATCGGCCACCTCGTGCTGGGTCGTCACCACGGGACAGCAAAGTGGGCTTATTTTTTTCCCTCCCGTTACGATAAGGCGGGAATCCGTTCGGGGAGGGAGGGAAGGTCGTATGCAATAATACTTTGTCCAACTTTCTACCTATTTATTCGTTCCACACCATAAGGAAAACAAAAGCAAATATATAATAATCAAGGGTTTTTTTTATAGATAAGGGTGACAAACGGACACACAGTCCACCTGATGGTAAGTGGATGCACCTCCATTTATCCTCGATCCTCAATGAAAGTGATTGAAATATGGATGCATTGTCAATCCTGCGGTCTAAAAGTGATTGAGCAGCATTGACCTTCTATTTCATGTTGGTATTCTATAAGAGTGTGGTCCATAATCGGTCGAGCGGTCCCATTCGTGCTGAAACCATAATATAGTTGCTACGTGGCACTACCACGTTTAACGTATTGTGAAAATTTAAATTGATGAGATTATCGGGGCTATATCTTCTCGTCAGGTATACCTCAAAACTTGAAAACGAGACTGTACACCCAGTGCGTGTTGTCAGAGATGACATACGGAACTGAGACGTGGTCCTTCACTGCTGGCCGGATGAGAAAGCTCAAGGCCGCTCAGTGAGCTATGGAGAGAGCCATGCTCGGAGATTCTCTGCGTGATAAACTCAGTAATGAGGATATCCGCAGTAGAACCAGAGTGACCGACATAGCCCAACGGATTAGTAAGCTGAAGTGGCAATGGGCCGGCCATATAGCTCGAAGAACCGACAACCGATGGGGAAGAAAGGTTCTCGAGTGGCAGCCTCGTACCGGCAGGCGAAGTGTAGGGCGTCCCCCCACTAGATGGAGTGACGACCTGGTAAGATATGCAGGAAGTCGATGGATGCAGGTGGCTCAGGACCGTGCTTTGTGGCATTCTTTGGGGGAGGCCTATGTTCAGCAGTGGACTTGTGAAGGGCTGTAATGATGATAATGATGATGATCGGGGCTGGATTTCAAGTTAGTGTAGTGACAAGCAAAGATATGGTGTATTGGGTCCGCAGAAGTTGGAGGAGGTGCTGGAGGAGGCGATCCGCGGCGGCGAGGACGAGGAGGCGGGTGGCGGCGGCACAGCGCGGGCCGCGGCGGCCGGCCTGCGCGCGCTGCGAGCGCTGCGCAGCGCGCCCGCGCACCGCCTGGCCGCAGCGCTGCGCGCACAGCACGCCGACGCACTGTACGTACCGCATATAAATGGGGTCATGTATTCTCTTGCATCACTATCATATGGCAAATATTTTTACCAGCCATGTTATATTCTGTGTTGGCCATAAGCCACTCATGAAATTAATTAAAGTGAACTTGAAAAGATTTGTTCACATTGACCATGCGGGCAAGCGAGTCTGTGAACGTGGGGCGTACCGGGGGCATTATTATTAGTGTGTGCGATTTAGGTTTCGTTATTTGTCGGTGTCTAGTGTTTGCTACGTTCTCCTGCAGTGCAGAGTTGTTACGTTGTGCCTGCCGATGGTCCACAGGGTGGCGCTGTGCCGGCTGCTGGGCGCGGCGGGCGCGGCGGGCGCGCACGAGGCGGCGGCGCTCGAGCTGTCGCTGAACGCGCACGAGCACGAGCACGAGCAAGAGCACGAGCACGAACACGATCGCGATCACGAGCACGTGCACGCGCACGCTCGCCACTACCTGAACGCGTTGGCGCTGGCACATCAGCCCGATGTGAGTGCATTTGCTTTCAATGCTCATCTTAGCATCCCATTTGAAAAAAAAACCGTCTTACCGGAAGTTGACATTATTTTGAATATTTAAAAAATTACTTATGTTGAATAACGATATTTTATTTATTTATTTATTTTATTCGGAACACCAACAGCTTTTATAAATTTCACTTATTACAAAATTTTAAGTCTACGTAGTTTAAAAGATATTTGCTGAAGCATGCATAAATACGTGTAAATACTTAATTTTATAAGAAAAATATCTTACAGCGATCTTTTATGACCACTTAATAACAAGATAACGCAAAATACAGTGTAAAGTTTCACATTTTCACATTTTGTATAGATGCGATTTTTTTTTAACTCTTATTACTATACTATTAAGCACTAAGCTTCAAAGGGATTAGAAAACTGCCTCTTGTTGTTTTATCACTAAATACTGCGTTTTAAGATTTCTTCAGCAAAAAAATTACAAGCGTCTATTGAAGGAACTACTAGACCCAAATCGAATATTTGATAATATTTTTAAAATAATATTAATTCGGCGTTACTTTAAGTAACGTTAATTAATAATACTTTTAAATTCAATGAGTGGATTTCTGTAGCAATTCGTAAGAGTGAAGTGAGAGTAATTTTTTGAACTGTACGAAAAAGGCTTTCATTCAACACAATACAAGAAATTTATGTTATAAATTATTCAAGAATATTTAGAAATATATTTTGTGGAGTTGCAAAATTAAATTTCATTAGTTTAATAAGATTTTTTGGGTATTTTTGTGAAATTTTTTATTATTGGTGAGTGTAGAGAACCGGAGATCCTTTTTACTGGCAAAGAGGCATTCCATCTTAGTCCTCACAGGTGACAACGTATCTACATCTTGAGTCTTTATTGAGGATAGATGTAGATGTCTATGGGTCACAGTAACCACTTACTATCAGGTGGACTGTGTGCTCGTTTGTCACCCGATTCTATAAAAAAAAAAACAGCATTCAGTGAGTGTTAGGTGGCGAGTGCGGTGGTATGTTATTGTGGTTGTATAAAAAGGAGGAGGTGGTGGAGGCGGTGGCGCGCGCGGGAGTGGAGGGGCGGGCGCGCGCGCTGCGCGAGGCGGCGCTGCTGGCGGCCGCGGCGGCTGCTGCCTCTGCGGCAGACTCCAAGCAGCCGCGCCTCGCCCTCGCGCTGCGCGACACGCTCGCACAAGCACTCGCACGCTGTAAGGTAACGACACACCTCGTCTATGATAATACTACACCTGCACAATACACTTATATCACTTACACTTTATATACACTCAAATCTGCCAACTTTACCAATGGAAATTAACCTTGGTATCGGGGATATATAACTATAAAATTACAACTAAGGAAAGGTTATCCCAGATGTGTAAGCAATTATAACGCTTTCCCAGCTCACACCATTTAACGCGACGCACGATGTATTTATTCACGATGTGGTGCGAACCATAGATACTCTATGCGAACTCTGTGCGGCAAATTCACACCAAAATATAAACATTTACATTAAATCAACAGAATTGAATAACATAATAGTTGAATTAATACTATTACGGCCTACGGCTGCTCCCTTAAAGGTCAAATCCTCAGAGGCCCATTCAGCTGAGTTTCGACGAACTGACGTAGGTCGGGCCTCCTCCAGGCCAAAATGGAAAATCTCTAATTACACTAAACTATATGGGGGAGCGTTCTATACTACGGCAATTCGACCGAGAGAATATTAGACGGAGCTTACTTACCTATATCCAAGGCGACTGGTCCCTCCGGCGTCGGTCAGGTCGCATATGGTTGTGTAGTACAAGGGAAATAAATAAATAAATGTGATGTGTATCTAAGTGTGACTGATGGTGATTGACCCGAGTAGACCTTGGCCGTCGGCAGCAGCCCGGGCGTCGACACCGCTCCAAATTGAGGGTACCTTCCGCGGCGTTGTCCACAGTCACTTTCCTCGTTCGTCACGATGACAGTCCATTAACTCTATCGTACGATTAACGTTTCGCGTAGCAACAGTTATTTCTAGAATATCTAAGGCCGCACTAGCTAATATTGTCGAATGCACTTATACAGATTCTGAGTCGGACCCAATAAGTCCCGGAAAAGGCTATCCAGCAAGGAATACGCGTTACAAATCCTAGCCCGTATATTTACGGGCCGCGCCTAATTATTCCGAGTTCCCGAACAAAATTACAGTGTGCTAGCGTTAGCACAGCTGGCAGACGACTGTTTCGCCTTTACGCGTTCTCAACCCACCGCTCGGCCGACGTCAAAACCGGCATGAGACCGAGCCGCGCGCCCTCTCGCGTTAGTTCCTGAAATTAGCGTTTGGCGCGAACAAACCCCCGTCCCGGACATAAGGACCTATGTCCGCGAACAAACCGGCAAGCGGGACAGGGTCGCGACGGCACGTTGCAAGACCGAATCTACACCAAAACTAGGCCACCTTAGGCAACCCATCAGATCTTGCAACCCTAACCAACGCCTCAAAATTACAGCCCCAACGTGGGCAAGCCGGAGGGTTGAACTGGATGCCCTTCCTGGACATCGCAGCCCATAAATAAGTCTTATTCCTAGACAGAAGTCCGACGACCTCCTTCAAACACCTATCTGTGCTCCTATGATTAGTTCCGCAATCCGACCGGATCAGGTCTGCAAACAGCGACGCGACACGAAGCGGCCCAGAGTGACCTCCTAAGCTTCAGTGCAGAGAGCACCCCCAAATTTCCCATGAACGTCGTCTGTGGAGAGCCGAGCGAACGCACAGATAGTCCCTAGTATGAATTTTCAAACAAGTAGGCATAGCCAAGCCATCCACCATATAATAATTTACCAAATGGTGCGACAGCTGATTTCCATCTGATAATCTACAAACTAGCCAGCCTGTTAGACAAGTAGTCCTATGCTCATATTTCAACTAATTTTTCAAAGCATCAATGTCCAACTATATAATTAATTCAAACAAATTAATCACCGATGCACATAGGTCAACTTGCAAATTAAACAAAACAATAAACGTAAGGGACAGCCCTATTTCTCATTTACGTAACTTAGACAGTGCCAACAAAATGTAAACCAAAGGAGAATTGACTTTTATTTACCTCGGCACAAATAGGGTTATCTAATTTCAGCCTTCTTTTTCATAAAGCAAAATGATTAAACACTATCACAAAACATATACATAATTTTCCAAATAGCGCGACATTCGATTTCAAATGAATTCAAATTTTCTTTTCAGCAACCAGGCGCAACAATCAAATGCAGTGATTAAATATATTTACAAAACATATGCAGCAGCATTTAAAGGAGTAGATTAAATTCAATTCTTTTAATCACAACCGCTACTAATATGAAAATTTCGCGGAAAGCCCAAAAGCATTTTTTAATTTTAATTCAAAGAATTTTTAACTAAGTGCTCGACCAAACCAAATCTAATACCCCTTGACAGCGTGATTCAACGCTCCAGGGGAGTCCTAATTTTCCCACCACCAAGGGGAGGCCACACGGCGTGAACCCGAGACCAATAGAGCGAGAACCGCCAACAGTTGCCACTCGGGTTGTACACCTTCACTGAGGCCGTCGGCAACAAAACATTTTGACAAGTGGACTGTTGACGGCTTAAGGCTCAGTGGAGGCGGCCGTGGTTGGAGCTAAGGCGGCAGCTAGCCAGGGCCGCCTCCATCAAATGGGGAACAGTGGTACACCAGTCGCGGCCACTCAACTAACGGGAGTGAGAAGGGTCCAGCGGACCGATGAGTGGCCGTGAAGTTCCTCTCCACACGCTGAGGGGGGGTGATGAGAGTCGCCCGGCAGAGGGCGTGGCTGAGCGCCCCCGCCCGTGGGGGTCGAGGGCCTGGCAGAGCCCTGAGAGGAGACGCCGTTCGCACCCAGGCACAAAACTGCATGGTGATTGCCCTGGCAATGCAGACAGGGCCGCCGATGCGGACAGTCTCACTGGAGGTGTCCTCTCAGACATGAACAGCACCAGGGGCGCTCCTTGGCGATAGTTCGCCTCGCCGGAACCGGCTTACCTAATAATTTCGGGCACGACGTTACCCGGTGCTCAGATGCTCGACAATAGGAGCAGGGGGTTGACGACGATTTGCTTGGCGGATTCAGCCTCTCATTGGGCACGGCTCGTAAGTCGTCAACGGTGCCCGCCGCGTTCTCTATCTGCCGACACTGCTCCTCCAAAAACCGCAGCAGGTCATAGAAGGGCGGAATATAGGAGGCCTAAACCCAGCCGTTCCTCTCCTCAAAATGGATTCGAAGGTCGAGAGGTAGACGGGACAGAACGATGCGGAGCAACAAAAAAGCCCATTCGCCCACGGGTAAACCCAGCCGCCTCAACGTATTACAGGCCACCAAGACTGGATCCAACAGGTCCGGACGTAGTCTGGCCCGGTCACTAACTTGCTGCACTGCTTCACATGTTCGTCCGCAATTCGCCGGACGTTGGCGTATCTTCTGGCTAGGAGGTCCCGAGCAGTCTGGTAGGCGTCGTCCGACAATCTCAAGTGGCCGACGACGCCCAGGGCCTCCCCCTCCAGTGAGGATAGGAGGTACGCCATCTTCTGGCTTGGTGTCAAGTCCCTCCGGGCGTCCACTAGGCTGTCGAAAAGACCAACGAAGGTCAGCCATTCGGAAAGGACCCCGGAGAACTTTGGCAGGTCCAGAGTTGGGAGTCGTCCCAACAGCTCCGGCTGAAGCTGCTTCCGAGAGGACTCGGGCAGGCCACTCATCCGAGCTTCACGCGCCTCCTCGGCATACATGCCTTCAGCCTCAATCAACTCGTCCGTGAGCGAAAAGAACTGCTCATAGTCCGCGAAGCAGGAGTCCAGGACTCCCTTCTCCACATCCGAATCCTCGAGCTCAACGTAAGCGTCCTCCACTGCGGCTCTTCGAGCATCCACCTGCTCGAACCGCTTCATCAAGTTATGGACCCTATCCGGTCGACCTATCAAAGCATGGGCGCTTGTGGCCCAGCGTAACTCAGTCCGCAGGCAACGGATCGCTTGGGCGATGACATCACTACTAAATACAAATTACGACGCGGCTCTAGCACAAATTACAAAGATAACAAATAAAAAATACAACAAAAAATTAACAGTTAATAAATGCAGTTCCTATCAAATCGCATTGAATAGAAATTACACAAATACGAATTACTACGTATCAGCCAAATACAAGTTAGCACAAAAGAAAAGACACAAATCAAATTAACAAATAACAAATACTAGTGCGATCAAATCAAGTTAAATTCAAATGGCGCAAATACAAATTACTACTCTTTAGTTCAAATACAAATTACAATACAAACGAAGATACACATCACGGTCGATCAACAAAGAATGCCTAGCTCGGAAATCGACCCTTCTATAAGTAATCCACTACAACTATCCGACAACGATAATTAACCGATTACGTAAAAATAACCATCTACCTACATGACGTATATCTCTAAAAAAACTCCCGCTTGCGCAACCTAGGGCGCGGCTTTTCAATCTACCCACTAACCAAAAAAAGGCAAGCAACAAAGGAAAATAATTTTATTATTACGTACAAAAAAAATATTTTTACGTATTACGGACGGGCGTGATTTTAGACACAAAATTAACCCAATCAAACCAACGCTCCTTGCCACCAGAATTGCTTAATTTTTAGAAAACACTATGGTCGGGATCGACCGGGGAATCGAACCCGGAACCACGCTCTGCTACCAGTTTGTTACGGCCTACGGCTGCTCCCTTAAAGGTCAAATCCTCAGGGGCCCATTCAGCTGAGTTTCGACGAGCTGACGTAGGTCGGGCCTCCTCCAGGCCAAAGTGGAAAATCTCTAATTACACTAAACTATATGGGGGAGCGTTCTATACTACGGCAATTCGACCGGGAGAATATTAGACGGAGCTTACTTACCTATATCCAAGGCGACTGGTCCCTCCGGCGTCGGTCAGGTCGCATGTGGTTGTGTCATCATCATCATTACAGCCCTTCACAAGTCCACTGCTGAACATAGGCCTCCCCCAAAGAATGCCACAAAGCACGGTCCTGAGCCACCTGCATCCGTGAACTTTCTGCATATCTTACCAGGTCGTCACTCCATCTAGTGGGGGGACGCCCTACACTTCGCCTGCCGGTACGAGGCTGCCACTCGAGAACCTTTCTTCTCCATCGGTTGTCGGTTCTTCGAGCTATATGGCCGGCCCATTG